CACCACATTCATCCAGGCCCCTTCCTATTAAGACACTTCATGCTTCCTAATTGACCACAGTGCTGAGTTTAGGAGAGTTTAGTGGGAAAAATTGGAGCGTGAAGTTAGACACAGCGGGGATGGCAGTGGGGGGCAGATCCCACTGCAGTGGCACACAGGAAGCCCTCAATAGATGTTTGTTGAGTGGTAGAATGAGTGAATGAAGGAATAAATGCTCTACCTTGGTCTTATAAGCAAGGTAGCTGCCCCATTACCAGAAAACAGACCATCAGCAACTCTCGGAGGCAGGATGGGTGAATTGATCCTAGAGACTACAGAGCGAGAGCTCAGGAAATCCCTCCCACCCCAGACCTAGATGGGCCAGCCTTGAGAGCTCGAGACCTGGAAGCCAACTACCGGAGGTGGAACCTGAGGCTCTAGGGTGGAGAATTCAAGTGTTGCTCCTCTGGCCCCTGACCCTGAACGGAGACCCCGAGCATGTCGAACGCTGACCAGTGTGATTGCAGGGCTAAGTAAGCAAAACAGCATCTAGCTTTCAGCCTATTACACCAATTACATTGATCTCTTCTGAACTGCATTTCCCACTGCTGTTTACCAACTAAGGAGGAGAAAATCGATGGCAACAGCTTGTTTGGGTAGCAGCCTCTGAAGGGAGGAGCAGGGGGCGGCTGGGAGGAGTCATGCTGCTTGTGGACACCAGATACATTCTCCAGGTCTCCCACTTTCCCTTTGCACTGGTCATTTCCTAATGAGGCCCCACCGCTCTTGTTTTCTTTTCTTACTTTTAAGTGATGTATCTTTATCTTTTTTGCGATCAACATGCATTTACTTTTCTTATAAGAAAAACTAACATATCTTTTTAAATATCAGTAATAACATGAAAATGTCATAATGCCCTCCCCTACTTAAAATTTTTCAAAGGCTCCGCATGACTCTCAGGATGAAGTCCAAATCCCTCCGGAGAGTTTGCAAGGCCCTGCAAGCACCTTCCCCTTAACACATCTACTTGCTGTTTTTTCCAAAGGACCATGCCCTTCTTTTTTTTTTTTTTTTTTAATGTTTACTTATTTTTGAGACAGAGACAGACCATGAGTGAGGGAGGGGCAGAGAGAGAGGGAGACACAGAATCCAAAGCAGGCTCCAGGCTCTGATTTGTTAGCACAGAGCCTGACACGGGGCTCAAACTCACGAACCGTGAGATCATGACCTGAGCCAAAGTTGGACGCTTAACCGACGGAGCCACCCAGGCACCCCTAAAGTGCCACATCCTTCCTTTGCCTCAAGACCTCCCAGTATGCGGCTCCTACTGCCCAAAGTGCTTTTCCCCTCTGGCTCAATCTTATTTGGCCTCACCTTAAATATCGCTTCTTCTGGAGCCTTCCCTGACCAGATTTAGCCTCCTGCCCTAAATCTGGCTGGAGGGCCTGTCTTCTACATCTCCATGGCACCCTGTATTTCATCCCCATCGCAGCCCTTGTCTCCGTGTGGTGTAAACATTACACTTAGGCTCTGGGACTGCAAGAATATGTCTGTCTTTCTTGTTCTTGGTAGATTCTCCAGTGCCTAGAACTGTGCCTGGTCCTTAATAGAGGCTCAGTTAAATGGAAAAATAAAAATAAAATAAAATAAAATAAAATAAAACTAGTAACAATTAGCTGTTCGATTTGGAAGGGTTCTTAGAGACCATCTATCACAACTTTTGTTTTTTTAGAGAGACATTGACAGTGCAAGTGGGGGGAGGGGCAGAGAGAGAGGGAGAGAGAATCCTAAGCAGGTGAGGCAGGCACTGTCAGTGCAGAGCCCGATGCAGGACCTGAACCCATGAAACCATGAGATCGTGACCTGAGCCAAAACCAAGAGTCAGACGCTTAACTGACTGAGCCGCCCAGGCTCCCCTATCCTAACTCGTGTTAACACTGAGGCCTAGAGAAGCCAATAGGTCCTTTACTGAACCGCTACGTGACCTTAGAAAAATGCCTTCCCTCTCCGGGTCTCAGTCTCTCCACTATAAAATGAGGAAAGCTCTTCCTAACTCTAACTTTTTCTGGCTTTGCTTCCTCCTCCTTCTGGGTATTGGGTAGCTCGTAGGTGCACTAACTGCGTGGGTAGGTGGGATGGTGCAGGAGAAATATAAGGTCAGACTCATCCTCTCAACTTGCTGCCGATCAAGTTGAGAAGATAAGGTGCACCCAGTGCTAAATTAAATGTTCCTGGTGATTCTGTCTTGCCAAGGAGATCAGAAAAGGAAGAGATCGTGGAAGTCTGGAGGCATTGAGACTCCTGCAGGAGACAGCACCTAAGCTGAGCAGGCAGAATTTACCGAGGCAGTGAGGATGACAGAGCAGTATCTCTGGCACAGAACTGGCTAGTCACACCTGTGGGACATAACAAAGGGCCTGGCTGACGCATTCAGAGCCCAGCTCTGCCACTTACTAGCTCTGGGCCTTGGGCAAGTTTCATAACCTTTACAAGCCTCAGTTTCTTTCCCCTCACTAAAGGAACTTGAATGTCTGGTGTGCAGGGGTTTCGTGAGGATTAAGTGTGTGTGACAGTACCTAGAACAGCACCTGGTGCCTAACAGACCATTCTAAGAAATGCCACTTTGTTTTCTTCTTTCCGGTCACGTCAACAGGTGTGACGTATCACTGGCAAGAACATCAAAAGTGCAGCTGGGGTTTGGGGACCGAAGGCTCTTCCTGCCCAACCACTCATAGTCTCGTTTACTCTGACACGACTTGTCCAGTGCCCCGTTGCACACACAAACACATGCACGCAAACACATGCGCGCGCGCACTTCACGTAAAATCCAAGAGAGAAAGAGAGGCTAGTTCTAATTCCCCAATCAGATGGGGCCAGATTGGGAGCCGTCCATTACTGTCAGCAGGAAAAACAAAGTATCAACATCCAGGTCTGGCCTAGAGTTCTCCCTCCACCACAGGACTTATAAGACATGAGATTATGAGACCAAATGTCATTTTCTATAGGGCTGGAGAGAGAGGCCTCAATGAAATTATAGAACAATCCTATATAATACCTTGGAACATTTTATGAAGCTATGGATATTTCTGAAGGAGAACAGAATGAGGCATGTGCTGTGGGGGATGCTGGCAGGGGTGAGGGTGAGGGTGGGGAGGAGGATTGTTTTAGTCCATCCCTGCTGATGACAGACCCAGAGTGATTAGGAAAAGAAAATGTAGCATGATCTCATTTATCCAGCACCTTCAGGGAAAGCAGCAGGTGCTCCTGTGTGGAGACTATTGGTGAAGGAGAGCATTCAGAGTTGGACTTGAACTGAGGTCATTAATCTTTTAAGGAACTATAGACCCTTTTGAGAATCCAACATAGATACCCATGTTCTTCTTCCCGGAAAGCACAAATATGTCCCAAATTCTACTTGCAGTGACATAATATTCATAGATCACAGATTTACAATGCCTCCCTAACAAAACTGAAAACGTTTCTTCATGAAGATATTTCTTAACTTCATTACCCACTTTCCTGGCACAGAGACCCACCACCCCACTAACTGCTTCTCAGGCTGTGAATGGAAACTAAATGGACTCTTTCGGCTCCTCTAGAACCAAGTGACCAAATCCTCCGCTAGGAGTCAGGACTCTTGTGTTCCAGAATCAACTCTGACCTGCTTTTTCAGAGTGATACCAGGTCGGTCTTAACTCTGGACTTCATTTTGTCCAGCTGGAAAAAAAAAAAAAAACAAAGGTGGAGGGTGGGGGAGAGAGTTTCGACTAGGACCGTACTTCTTCTCGTAGGTTCTATAGAAGACAAGAATCATGTACAAACACAAGAGCTCTATAGCCAAAATAAATCGGGGAAATAATGCATATTCTATTCCCTTCTTGGAGATACGTACAAATAGTCAGCATATTAAGGTCTCTGAGAAGTCCTACAATAAAAAATCCATTGCATTTGGTTTAGTCCAACATTTCCCTCTTGGGTTTGATCATGACTTTTCAGCCACATAACTCCACTACAGTCACATCAGAGAAGCCCTTAACCAAGCACTGAGTTGAGAACCCAGTAAGGTATAATTCCACAACATCTATGCATTCTCCCCAGGGGTGGCTGGGTCAGTTGGAAGAGCATGCAACTCTTGATCTCGGGGTCGTGAGTTCAAGCCCCACATTGGGTGTAGAGCTTACATTTAAAAAAAAAATTTTTTTTGAGAAAATTCTCCCCAAAGAAATAAAGCAACATATATGATAGAAGGTTGCAGAAGGCTGGTATTGAAACAGAGAGATGTGAAGCCTACGACCATTGAATTCACCTATCCTTCCTTCGCTGCTTGGGAATCAATTGCTCTCTTTAGACAGAATAGTGTGAATGCTCAGGCATCAGCTTTTAGCCTTTCCTTTTGCTCCTTCAATCCATCTAGAGCAGTGACTCTCAAACCTCAGTGTGCATGGGAATTACTGCCCTGATGGCATTGATAATAAAAGGGAGACTTCAACCTTATCAGTGATGGACTATTAATCTCACCTAAAAAAATGAAGCAAACAGGGCAAAATGTCAACAGGATGAAAACAGGTGTTTATTACATCAGTCGGTGCTTTATTTTTTGTTTGTTTGTTTTTATTTTTTAAGTAGGCTCCACGCCCAGCAGGGAGCCCAGGGTGGGGTCTGAACTCACAACCCTGAGATCAAGACCTGAACTGAGATCAAGAGTCAGATGCATAACCTACTGAGCCACCCAGGTGCCCCAGTTAGAACTTTATTATTTTTTTTTTAGTTTTTCAAAAGAAAACATTTAAATAACTCAGTTCAGAACTAAATGTACTTAATTTAAGAGGATTTCTAGGAATGACTCCCCTGACTTTTTCCTGATGCACAGACTTTACATCTCACCCCATATTAGGTGCAACCACACTCATAACTCTCCAGAAGGGACTTTGGGGCATGCTGAACAAAAGCACCAGGGGTCCTCTGAGAGTTGACATCCCAGGGCCTGACCCTGACTCTACCTCCTCATCTCCTGGCTCTAGGACTATAGGGTCAACATCTTCCTGCGGCAGCAGTGGAACGACCCCCGGCTGGCCTACAATGAGTACCCGGATGACTCTCTGGACCTGGACCCATCCATGTTGGATTCCATCTGGAAACCCGACCTGTTCTTCGCCAACGAGAAGGGGGCCCACTTCCACGAGATTACCACAGACAACAAACTGCTGAGGATCTCCCGGAACGGAAATGTCCTCTATAGCATCAGGTGAGTTCCACACAGATTCGCCCCCACCCTCCTCCTCAGAACACACCTTGTCCCGTTGCCTTCGGGGAGCAGATACTAAGAAGTGAACCAACCAGGCGTGAACAGGCCCTGGCAACCCAGCTCCTTTGCACAATACACAGAGCCAGCTCTGTAAATGACACTCAGCGACTGAGAATCCAATACCTTGAGAAATCCTAGGAGTGAGTGGTTCATTATAACCAGGGGAACCGAGGAAGCATCCTAAAGAGTGGGAGGGGGGTTAAGGTTAGGCCCCCTAAGCTCACCCACAATTTCAGTAAAACAAAAATGGAAAAGAGTATTCAAAGGCAGTGCTCAGTGGCAGGGCTGTTCAGTTACTCAAAATGAAGAAGTTCTAGAGAGATGCCATTCAACATTATGCCTACAGGTAACAATGCTGCATTGTACACATAAACATTTGTTAAGAGGTTGGATCTCACATTAAATGTTCTTATCAGAATTAAAAAAAAAAAAATAGCAGGAGCAAAGGCACAAAGCCTGAAAAGTCATAGCCACTTCAACAGCCAACGAAAGGTGGATGGTGCTACTCACAGATACGAGCCAGGGCTGCCCCAAACCCTTTCTATCTTCCATACCTTGCACTGGGTCTAGGAAGCTAGGACCCCCTTCCCAGCTGGGAGGTATCCTGCAGATGCTGTTTAGGGGCAAGCTTTCAGAGTCTCCTGCCAACTCTCCCCACCTCATTCCCAACTTCTTCCCTCGAGCCATGGAAAAAATGACCAATGTCCATTTTAGATTCTTACATACCTGGCATCCACTGAGAATTTATTTATTAAGCTGGGTATTTTACATAAATTATTTGTAATCCTATCAATCCCATGAAGTATTTTTTTATTATGCCCACTTTGCAGATTAGACAGGTGACGATCTTAAAGTTTAAGTCATTTGCCAAAGTTCCCACAGTCAGCCTAGATTCTCATCTGTTAGCATGGATCTGATGCCTGCTCAGGACCTGGAACAGTGTAGGGCATTCGATAGGTACTCATTTGATGAATGAATGAATATGTTTTTATTTCAAAGAGCTTAAAAGGGACCCTGGCCCTAAATGACTCCTCCTCCCCCTCCAGTTCTTTGGCGGAAGAAATCTTCTTGTTTCAGAAATCTTCTTGTTAGCAGAAGAACTTTAAATGTCCAGGACTATAGGGGAGTCTGCATACACATCCTAACCCTCAGATGTGACTGGACTCGGGGTGTCTCCTGAGAGCAGGCCAGGTAGGAGGGGGGTACTTAAGAACCTCAGCAGGGAAAGGAGGCACTAAGGAGGGGATGGCTGGGTAGAGCCAGAGGCCGATGTGGCCTTCCTCACCCCGGAGCCTGTCCTGCCAGTGCACATCCAGATGGAAGGGTGATGAGCTCATGAGAGCCACCAAGTGCCCTGACTGGCTGGGGCAGGAGAGGTTACCCTGCTTGGATTTTGCTGCTGCCAGGCTAGTTTTGTATCTCTACAAAGCTAAGCCCCATGCAGCATGACAGAAGGACAAATCAGCAAAAAGTGATGTTCCCAAGGTCATTCAACTTCAGGAAATTAACCTAGTGTGACAGCTGCCCCACTTTGGAGCTTTTATCTGCAGAAATTCAACTGTGTTCACTTTCTCTTCACCTTCCCCTTCCCTCTCCCACCCCATTCTTCCCTTCCTTCTCACCTCCCTTTCCCCCCTCTTGCTTCTTACCTTGTGCTTAAATGGGACCCAAATCCAGAGCAGTTGGAAGTGAGCTGGAGGGAGGAAGTGGACACAGGGCCATGCACTCACCGTCTGCAGCTAAGATGCCAGCAGCTAAGTGTCACTAGACCACCGCCAGTGAGATGCCTTTCAGGCTGGCAGTGTTGGAAAGCAAACACATGAGCTCAGAATCCAGTGGCCAGGAGACAAAGTTTTGAATCCTGCCTTTGAGCCATCACTTGCTGTGTGACCTTGCATGAGTCCCTACCAATTCTTCTCTGTACCTCAGTTTTCTCACCTGTCAAATGAGGGAGTTGGCCTGATGATCTAAGGCTCTTTGGGGCTCCAAGAGCCTTTCTTCTCCATTCTCTGCAGCAGGTGCTCAGATGTTGGCACAGCCTTTTAAGCTGAAGCCTTGCATCCTAACCTGAGCTGCAGACTTCAGCTCTGTTAGGGGGACTCCCTCTGGGTCTAAGGCTGAGCCTCTTCAAGGGTCTAACAACCCAAAATAAACGGCTATCCCAGAAGCCTGGGGGCACCCACCACTTCCCAACTGACTCCAGCGTGAGCCCACAGGTGTGAGCCAGCTCTGTTTGGACACCCAGAAGGGCCTCTTTGAAATGGCTTTTGATAAGTCCAGTGTATGAAGGGAGGCAGCAAAGAACCACTTGAAGCACCTGACAGGTGTACCTGGGAAACCTGAGACCTGGGGCTACTCAACTTAAAATCCAGACTCTGCAGAAGACAGCCCCTGGCCTCCAGGCCTTCAGGCAGCTTGCTACAGGCAGATGTCTAGAAGCCAGATAGTCTCCAAAGAAACCCACGAATTCCACTGTGTGACTTTAGGCAACCTACTGTATCTCTCTGAGCCTCCACTCCATAGCTGGAATATAGAAATAGACATGTATTATTTCAATACACGCCAGCTCCCTGCCCTCCTTGACTTGTCCAAGTTAACTGATTTTCTGGTAATCACTAGCACAGAGGCACAGCTTCCCTAGTCTGTGGGTCTACCATCATCCAATTCTTTTCTCTTCCCAGAATCACCCTGACACTGGCCTGCCCCATGGACTTAAAGAATTTCCCCATGGACGTCCAGACGTGTATCATGCAACTGGAAAGCTGTGAGTCCCTTGCCTGAGGGTTTTAGAAAAAAACCAGACTCCCCTTTACCCAGGGGACGAGCAGAACTTCCCATACAGCTACTCCTAACTGCTGGACCCCAGGGGATTACTGCACTAGCCCAAAATACCAGATGAGGGGCTTTGCTTTAGAAAATGCATTAGAAATATAACCCCCCTTCCATTGTCTGGCTGAGGCCCAACTTTGAAGCCAGCAGTATTTTCCCAAGACTCTGTTCCATGTCCCTTGCGGACATGCTCTCCAGGAGTGCAGCAGGAAGAGTTTGAACAAGCCATAGTCCTTGAACTCACAGGAAGATAGACAACTAGATGCACAAGTAACTCTAACACAGGGCGGCAAGCAGTAAGCGTGTTGTGAGAAGTACAAATGCTGTGGCCTCATGGCAGAAGAGTGCTTCCTTCTGGTTGGGAAAGAGAAGGGGTGCTAGGGAAGGTTTTATGTAGGAGGTCACAAGTGAACCTACCAGAGGAGGTAGCTGCCTTCTTTGATTGCAGACAGAAACCAATCCAATTTAAAAGATGGAAAGAAATGGAAGGACATAGGGGGTCCTCATGGACTTGAAAGAGAAGCTGAAAGCACAGGAACCAGGGCAGAGGATTTAGGCAGCAGGAACCAATGGGGCAGCCCCTTGGAGCACCACCTCTGAGCGGAATTGGCACCAGCCCACTCTGAACCTTTTGTCACTTGCCTCAAGAATCAAATCAGGAGACTATAAATGCTGGAGAGGATGTGGAGAAACAGGAACCCTCTTGTACTGTTGGTGGGAATGCAAACTGGTGCAGCCACTCTGGAAAACAGCATGGAGGCTCCTCAAAAAATTAAAAATAGATCTACCCTATGACCCAGCAATAGTACTGCTA